GGGTGGGATTGGGAGGAAGCGGAGGGCCATGATAGGTTGAGTAACTTCACAAATTGTTTTTGGGCGCACAAAGAGTTATGCAAACGGATGCGGTTTTTAATCAACTTTGGTCTGCGACCCCGAACACGGTAGAATCTGAACTACTTCAGTCACACTCACTGTGTGATAGGACTCGACGAGATGTGAAACGATGGCACTTGTAATAGTTTTAATCACACCAGTGTTTAGCCAGGCCGGATGATGTTCCCGAACTCGTGTAGATAAGCGCCTTCTCGTGCGGCCGATATACGTTGCTCCCCTGGAACACGTGAACAGGTTCACACAACATGAGACTGCAGAAGCAGGAATCCTGTCTTTGAGTTGCGTACACAAGATCGGTCTGGACGTGAATACGATACGTCATTTTGCTGCGCGAAAATTATTCTCCAACGCAGTTCCCAGTTTACGGCTAACCAATTCTGCGATTGCATCCCCTTTGAATGGGAGAGAAATAGTACCCTGCTATCTTCTCTGCGCTTAAAAGTCTTTCCCTCGGACGATTATTTCGCAAAACGTTCTGGTTAGTCATTTTATTGGAAAACATCATAAAGACACATGGATGCCAACTATCGACGACTATCACTTGACTTCAAAATGTGCGATCGCCTATCGATCAACCGGGTGCAACCCAGAGATCAATAACCGAATCACTTGGTATTTCAAGAAAAGCTCTTTACAGTATTATATTCCACCGAACCACTGTCGGATAATTGGTGAACACTGCAGCATCTCAGGAAAGATGCCATCTGAAAACCAACGAAAATTTCACGACAGTGATTGAGGCAATCCTGGCTTGGTTTACCGCTATGAGTGAAAAGCACGCCGAGTTCCCCACGATGGAGAACATCGTTGGTAAGAAGGCAACTCAGCTAGCACAAAAGATGCATCATCGCGAGTTCAAGGCTTCCAACAGTTGGCTTAGCTCTTGATCAGACAGATGTGTTATGCAATCCTACAAACTAAGAGACAGACAACTACACATTTGCATTACTTCATAGGTTTGTGGGGAAAGTTTGGCGGTACCACCTGATGCAGTGGACGAGTTCCGAGCGGGGTTACCGCAGTTGATTCATGGATACGCTGACTGATATTTTCAATTCAGATGAAATCGACTTGTATTACAAGCAGCTCCCAGAAAAAACATTATATTGAAATAAAAAGCAGTTTATAGATCCAAGAAATTCGTCCGATTTCAACCACAAGATGACTTTTCAAAAACACTCTATTCTAGTATGTATAGATAACAATCCTTGCCATAACAAAGCCACAGTATTCGAATCAGTACAGTCGCCTCCGAACTGTTCGTCAATGTTAAAAACAGTAGCTCAGACTATGAGTTGGTCATTCTAATATTTGTTTTGCAAATATTCACTGGAAGATGTTTTATCCTTGAACGAAGATGCGCAACAAAGTATGAAAGCCGAGGTGGACATCCTCGTGGGCATGCATCTGGTCAAGAAAGTTTGGGTATCTGTGCACCCCCACCTATTGAGCAACGCTTTCATAAAAGCTGGGTTCAAAGCCATATTGAATCAGCCGTCGATGCAGCCATCAGAGGATAACTGCGATCCGATTGAAGACTTTACGCAGTCTTTTGATGAACGATTTGTTGAAAAAGAAATCGCCTCGTTTCGAATCAAGCTAAGCATCACAAAGAAGACGAATGTGGAGCAATGAATGCACCGGAATCAATTGAAGCTCTTTGTCTTGGCTAATCGGATTTCAGACCGATTACTGAAGTGTACAATTGACTTAAACAGCACATTTGTTGATTTCCAAAGCATAACCGGGCGGAGACAAACGACGATTTATGATTGCTGAAAATGCATCTTCGTAATCTCCAAAGCCTTTTCCACAATTCTGTGGGGCGCCCGAATATGGTCATTTTTGTTGCATTGGTCACCAAAGCCACGACCATTCGGTCTATCGCACAAACATGTAAACGGGTGAACGATAATCGCGATTGACTGGTAAGTAGGTGTGTGGAATAAGGTGTCAGATCCAAGCGATCGATAAACGCCGTAACGCGGATGTGCATATCTCGATGAATGAACAATAGCCGCACTTGCTAGAGCACCGATGAATTGAGACAGGTCATTGACCAAATTCTACGTTCCGGAAAAAAGTTCTTATTCGTCAATGTTAAAAACAGTAGCTCAGACTATGAGTTGGTCATCCTAATATTCGTTTTGCACCACCAGTTGTACTTGCCCTTGATTGGCCACTTACCTCAGAACTTTGAACTCTTGAGCTAACTTGAGATTTTGGTCAACTGTGAAAGTGCACACAAATGGAGCGGTGCACTATAATCACTCTCATCCTCTCGGTCGAGCCAAATATATAAACTTGGTCGGAAGATCATTTTCTTCCTCTTGCAGTCCTATTATGGCCTTGGATCGTATGCTGCTGAGTGTAATTGCGTACTTCTCATTTCGGTCACTGAGCCGTTCTGTTTCTCTGCCATGCGGAACTATACTATCACCTGCCCGGTTTGATCCTCTGATTTGTGGGGCAAATTATACCGGGTGATGACTTATATTAGAACCGTCAAACGCCACGTCAAAGGAGAAAACAGCGAATACTCCGAAGACCGTGTGTATTTTGTACACAAGACACTTGTAACAGACGGGTATGAACTAGTGCATTGCATATTGATAGATCAGTCCAAATGACTCCCGCCCCCAGAGTCCAGAGAATCAGAAGAAAATTGGAAGGATACAATTAGACAAGCAAAATGGCGGACAGAACAGATATGGTGCAGAGGAGAGAATCGGCACCATCTTCTTGAAATAACATTGGCCAGTTCGTGGTAGATTTGTCAGCGTAACCTCACTGCTCACCTGTTTCGGTTGGAGCCTGAATCGGTGGAGCGTTTGCATTCACATTGGTATCCTCTGTCTTCTCCGGAGGTTTGGCAGATTCCAATTCTACCTCACTGCTATCACTCTCTTCAGAATCGAACGCATCGGCCGGTACGGAGTACATCTTTAGTAACGGCTGAAAGGGAAAGACAATGCTTTACGTGATCCGATTGGAAAGTGGACCATTTTTGACAAAGATAAACAGCTCTCTATTGTTTTGTTTTTTAATTAGGTATAGATCAGCACAACTGTCAATCGGTATTCTGATGGTATGAGTGACACCCGGTGAGGTGCACCAAGTTCGAGGTACAAACCCTGCCACTTTCATCCAGTGATCATACTTGTCAAGCGGGTATCCTCAGCGCCATCATCTGACTGTCTACAAATCCGAACGAGATCCCTGCTATTCAAAAGTTGGATGCGATCGGAGGTGCTAATCAGAGCCATATGAAGCCATGTCGGGATAGTCATGACAACTGCTCCGTCGTCATCATCATCCTCGAATTAACCATAGATTACGTTCGTTGGGACGTGTAACACATGTCACCAAGTCGGCTGCCATGGTGCACGTTATTTGCGAAACAGGTGATGGATCGGAAAAAGTAAAGGATGTTCAAACCAAGACTTAACCAAGAGACTTGCTCAAATAGATCGCGTTAGGTTTTTTTTTAATGGAGATATTGGGATTAGCGTACACGATGGTGAGAGATACTGAATGATATAACTATCGTAAACAGTGAGCCTCATGCATCTACTCAATAATCCATGTAACCTTAGTCTTCATGAGTTCTCGAGTTTCACTCAGAAAATGACTTGAAAATTTCAATCGTCCCTTTATTCCTGGATCCCAATGGGTAGCAAAAAGAGACGGTAACTGAAAATACAAGGTTAGTGTTTGTAAAAACAGCTTGAAATTATTGAATTACTGAATTTCCAAAGTACAACATCACAACTAGATCAGGGAAATTTTCGAAAACCCAAACCTGCATGAGTTACGAATTAACCCAAGTGGGGAAAGACACGATATTATAAAAAAAAAAGTAACCGAAACACAAGACAGGAGCTAAGTCCAATGAGACTATTACCTTGCTAGGATCCTTTACCAAAAGGTATTTGCCTTCGGGCATCTTCAAAAANAAGAAGTCCACAATGCAACGCAAGATAGCCCATCCGTTTTCCCAGTTGAGATTCAACTGTTGAGCGAAGTCGGCCGGTTTGAACTGTTGCGTACCGAGGATCACATGACGGGAGGAGTCTTTGGGATTTACACGAGAAACAAATCTGAAAAGCAAAGCGGAACAGAGCTAGCCAATTTGAGTTTAAGTGTAGAAAAAAAATAATAGCTCTCGCATCGAAGACATCAGACCCGTTTTATCGCTCGTAAGGTTAGCGGGCGTCGTCAAAATTCACTTCCTAATCGTGTGCTGCTAAGCCATAGCTCATTGTTCACGAAAATTGAGAAATAGAAAACCATCATCCGTCTCTGCTTCGAACTAGGATCCGTGTATCTGGCACGAGATCCTAACAAGAATTCGGGTTAGATACGTTCTCACGATTGAAACAACATTAGTACAGTGTTGATAAAGTCACATGTAAAGTGGTAACCGATCAAACGGTTTGACACGCTTTCAATGAGCATTCCAGAGAAAGAGCAAGTGTGAGCAAGACAAAATCTGACATAATTCTTATTTACATTAGCTTCCTGATCCGCAATACATTGCACATATGTTCTTGGACAAAATTGATGATTAAAATCATTGCTACGTTACATAAGACTTTCGCTTACCTAAGAAAGGACGATGGCATGCATGAAAAGAGAACAAAAACACTAATGCATACTACAACAATAAACTCAAGTTAGGCATCTCAAATTATTTCGAAACAGAATGAAAGCTGATTTTTGACACCGTCAAACTGAACCTCACTGACGACTGTGATTATCTGTTAAGATGGTAAATGAAAAAAGCGGAACAATTAGCTCAAAATATGGCTTGTTTAACAACTCAGTTCGATGTCTTTGACCGGATTTCCACAAACGATATCTAAACTAAGCACGGTCAGACGGGCGTTTCCGGAAATAGTATTCTGGCGAAAAATCGGAGAACTTGCGTAAATCGATGGTTCATACATAGGTCACGGCAGGGAAGCAGGGACAACGGAAGCTGTACCATGGCCGGAAATGACTGGCCCTAAACAAAACAAACTCCTTGTGTGTTTCAGATTTGGACCAAAACTTGCAAGTTTATCTGTCTTTGATTTTGGACGGCGACCGTGAACACGCTTGAAACAATTGATCAATGTGTACACATTGCCTGCTGACCGAGAGTAACACCATATTAGCGCCCTACTTTACGGTTGCGAGACCTCGCCCCTCCGCGTTGAGGATGCTGATCGACTTCCGTAATCGAGCACCGATGTCTCCGAAGCATTGCTCGTGTCTGGCGAGGTCAGTTGTCGTGTATTGGGCGCGGATAGATGTTCTCTAACAGAAGTAATCGCTCTACACCGCCTCCGATAGCTGGGTCACGTATTGCGTATCCCTGCCTTTCGACAACCTTTTCGTGCTCTCTTTGCACGTGCCGGGCAAGGCTGGAAGAAGCGGTGCGGCGGTCAGACCATGACATGGACTAGAGGCATGAAGAAGTTGGCTTCAGCTTTGGCTTCGGTTGGTGCAGCCCGCCTTCCAGGTTGGGGCCCAAGGGATGAGGATTGTCATTGGGTAGAGACGCTAAGTGATATGACCCAGAATAGCTGTCAGTGGCGCGAATGCTGTACGGTCTGTCCGTCGAAATCCCGTGCTCCGGAGAAAACAACAAACAACCGGAAAATAGCAAAAGGTGTAAGATGAAACACAAAAAGATCTTGTTACTCCAGTTATGAACCATTTCCCCATGTTTAACTGTTTCACGTTCTTTCCACCCTGTTTTGTATTCCAATTCATCTGGCCCCTATTATTCTTGTGACGTTGGCACTATGATTGTCTGCAAGCCGGTGTTATATATATACCATATTAGGCTCGATTGAAGGATTGCCTGTATTCGTAGGACCCAGTTTTTGAGATACCGTGAACGACGTTGCATGTTGCGTTCCTTTTGGAGATCGCGTTCCGGTCAGTGGAGAGCGGAAATATGGCTGTGCAATGTGGCACGGAAATATTATGACCCGTCCTGGACTGTGCGAAAAAAGCTGATCACACTAACTTACCCTAGTTTCAGCTGATCCGCTCCGGCAAGAATACTGCAAGTTGTCCACCGTGCCAGTTTGAAGGCATTGTTCTTAATCTCGGAGGCGAGGACAGCGCCAACTTGAGTATCCAATTTTGAACGCCAATCAACGCCACCGCAATACTGGAGAAAAAGAAACAACAAAATTGTACTACTGTGGTGAGGTCCTATTACTCACATCAGTAGTGAGTGGTATGAGTGCAGGAGGTTAGGGGATTCTGATAGTATTCAAAAATTGAAGACACCCGGGAAGGGTTGGTGGATTTTACATTGCATCAACTGAAGATGCGAACAAATTGTAGAACTCATTATTCATCTATTCAGAGTTTTTCATGAAACCGTGACTTGACCCTCCCTCTTCATTCCGGCATTGGCCATGTGGGTTTGCAACACTACAGAGGCAAATGCTAGTGCGTGTCGAAATGAGCATGCATCAATAGAATACGGTGACATATGGAACAATATGCAGGCAAGCTTTGAGCCACATAGGGAGAGGAGATAATTACAAACAATATTCCTATTACAAGATGAACAATGGAAACCAATGCATTAAATTTGCTTAGGGAATTTACAACCGACGCCTTCGCCTAACCGAAGCCTGACTCGCAAGGTAAGCTGGATGGTGTGGAAACTGCAATCTATTGCGAGCCGGTGTCCAGTTCAGCGAATTATACGCCTATTAAATGGGGTCAAACTTCCAAGGTGCCTAATGCACGTCCGGGCCGATGACCTCAGCCACAACCAGGAAGGTATATGTAAGCGTGTTCCGGACCCTTCTTCTTGGTTGTTTTGGAATCGGGGCTTTAGTCAACTCCCCTAGGTGAATTGTCTATTATTCACCAACCCGATTATGGCCTCGAATGTTGGCTTTTCGTCCTCCCACTATGGTGGGAAAACAATTCCGCAACGGGAAGGCAGTGAATAGGACTTCTGAGTGATTCGATGGGTTTATTTTGGCACTGGAAAATGCCGAATATGTGGAAAGAATCTAGTGTGGTGGAAAATGATGAGCCAAGTGGGTCAATTATAACAGCAGTTTATACAACGGTGTACACAGGCGCAATAGACGGTAAAAATGTCCAAGACCATCTACGAGATAACTCAGAATGAACCAGGCATCAAACTCACCACATACGATTTGTAGCTAAACCCTAGCCGTGTAACATTCTCACAGTGTTGTCAATTCAGTCATCCTACAAGACGCGGATACAACCACGAGACACAACAGCAGAAAGTATTTGCTTAACCGTTGAATATGCAATCGTCACTCGTTTTATTGTTCTCCAACCGAGTATGGTTAGGATGGATTCAATCAGATCCTGAAACTCGACCATGCAACGCGGTGCAAACCCCGGCTTACTTGACCGAACTGGAGCAAACGCCTTCGATCGAAGTTCTTAGTCGACGAAAACACGATAGACAAAGCAACAACGAAAGTGTGCGGGGCGAGAGCAGGTAGAACGTACTCGTGAATCAAACTCATTCAGTGCACGGATACAGACGAACTGTGGTGAAGCATTTTCGGTGTCCGCAGCGGGAGGCAGTACTCCGTTCACTTCGCATCGAACAACCAAACCGATATTATTCCCCAAATCAAACAGTCGATAGCGATAACCGACCGAGCCGACCTCTTCTTTCTTTGACTGCTTACGTTTGGAATCACGTGCCCCATCGTCTCCATCGGATCGGTCTCCATCGTCGTCCTCATCTTCTTCATCTTCATCCTCGTCTTCTTCGTCATCATCGACAAACGGATTCGGTTCAGGGAATGCATATTTCTTCCCGCCCTATAAGACCGCACGGAACAGCATTAGGGGGAGGAAAAAACAAGTCATTCGATCAATGTGGGAGTTTGATCTGAATAGAGCACAATAAACTCAACATAGTGTGCAGAATCACTCCCGATGTAGGGTGTTTATCAGTTGTATCTATCATTTGAACACATCTCTTCCTGGGGCACTGCAAACCACGTTTCATTCAATAGTTCTAAAACCTCTCTTCTTTCCATTTCCTTAAAACATCATCCATCCCCCCGCTCATTTCTTATTTAATTACATCCAACTGCGTTCCACAGACTCTGTTTCCCTTCTTGGATCGCTTATAACGTTTTCTTTATGCTGGTCCCTTTTTATAAATAAGCTTGCTCTTCGTGCTGCGCGCAAGGTTGGATTTCTATTTCGTGTCAGAAGCTTTTTCACCCCAGCTCATCTTCTATTGTACAAAGCTCAAATCTGCCCTGCTCTGGAATACTGCAGTCACCTGTGGGGTGGAGGGTCGGCCTCTTCCCTTTCCCTTCTTGTTCGTGTTCAACGAAAGGCCATCCGGCTAATCGATGATCCTTCTCTAACATCCAGTCTACAGTCGTTGGCCCATCGTCGAGCAGTTGCTTCATTGTCCCTGTTCTACCGCTACCACTTTGCTTTTTGTTCTTCGGAACTTGCCTCGGAAGTTCCTACTCCTACCCGCTCATCCCGTACACAGGCATCTAGCTATCCTTATCAGGTTTCTGATCCTAGATGTAGTACCTCTCAACTCTAATCTTTTTTCCCACTGAACTGCCAAATTGGAGAACACCGCTTGACGTTTTTCCCCCAACTTACAATCTTACACTTTTTAAACGCAGAATCAATTAAGTGGATCTTACGTGAATTTTTCCCTCCTCTCCCTTTTACAGTATGCCATTTGTCCATGGAGATTTCCCCATTTACTGTAATTCAGTTCAGTTCAGTTTTTACAACCATTAACCATGCACTTTCGTGCGCGGGTTTTGGTTATATACATATTTAACACCGGCTTGAGATCAAGCTTGGTGCCAACGCTATGACAATATTAACAATAACAATAACGAGCGGGGGGGGTAAGGTACAGAATATAGAAGAAGAATGTAGCTGTCAGGATAGGAGATTACGAGTAAAAGGAATAACAATTTTTTGGTTGTTTCACCGTACATTTTTTGGATTTTTTTCTTTGTTTTTACGGGGTACGGGATTTGGTTTTGGTTGCCCCTTTAGATAAAAGAGAAAAATGTAGATAGGAATGTCGAAGCAAATTCAAGCGGAAAGTGGGAAATTCATATAGAGTGATGTTATGAGAATAACGAGTGGATGCACGAGCGCCACTGTTTGCGACACCCAGCCATATCACTGTGTCTCTTACCACCGTTGACCATCATCTCTGAGTCCCCAGCCAGGGAGCCTAACGGGGCCTACGTGACCTAGTCCCCTGGTCAGGGTTTTCATACCCTCGTGCCAGATCTTAGCTTGACCGCCCTTCGTTTTTTTCCAATCGCTACCAGCCTTGGAAAACATCGTTCGCCGCGGCTACCTATCTGGCGACATACGTAACACATGTCCCAACCAGCGTATCTATGGAGGTCGATCACTTGCTCTAGTGGACGACCGCGACTGCCTAAAACTCTACGCCTAACCTCAGCATTGCTAGTCCGATTACCCCACCAGACACGTGCAATGCTACGTAGACAGAGGTGTTCTAACACCGACTGTAATTCACGTCGTGTAATAAAAAATACCGTTTGAGAAAAAGGGGCAAATGAATATGCCGGAAAAAATCTTTATTACACACTTTCGTGTGACGAATAGCAGATGGTGTAAACCTCATAGTCATGAGGACCTTCTGTTCAGTGAAGGAAACCGGTAACCTAATCCCCAGGAGTGGCGAACCACATAAAGCCTCCACTAGGTTAGGCGTGGTATTGAACCGGACGACAGCAAAGCTGCCTACCACCGAAGTCGGATGGCGGTGGCGGGACTCGAACCTCGGACCACAGGGTCCAAAGCTCGCCTGTGACAGCGACTAAACTACTGAGCCACCGCCACCCTAGCGGCAATGGGCAAGATCAGTAAGAGTTGATGCTTCTACTGAATTCAGACTAATGTCTACAAAAAAACGTTTAATGACTATCCTGGTCTTTGAATGATTCGTCTGTGTTAACCATCGAAATAGTCAACCGAAATCAATCCTTCTCTTCTGTCAACTTTCAAATTGAGTTTCGACACAAACTGGAGAAGACTAATTGCATCACTATTCGGTTTTCATTAGAGTAAGGTTTTTAAAAATGCACTCATGTTTGTCTAAGACAGTTTCTCACTCGTTTGAACCAATTTGCAATGACTAAGTGGAAACGTAAACTAAACTCTGTTCAAAGGAATTTCTGATTTCTTAAAACACAAAATCCCCAAAAAATCTAAACTGAAAATCATCAAAGGTATCAAGTGATCTCGTTGTAATGGTACTGGTGAGTGACGCACGAGGATGTTATTGAAAGTGGGAACAATTATCGAATAAAGCTCAATCTATCAAATAAGAATATAATATAATTTTAATGTAAATGAAATAAATACACCTTGTTGAGCGATATTCTGGATTGACTTTCAGCGTAAATAGAAGAGAAAATCGAGATTAAAAGACTTCAAACGGAAGTGGAAGTTGAGTTCATTTGGGCTTGAGCCCAACCACCACGATGCAACTCTGATGAATGCCAGTTTCGCTGTCGTATGATGTATTGGGGCCTTAAGTGGTTTGCTATTCCAACTCCCGGTGCTAAGTTGCCCGCGTCCGTGAGTGAACAGCGGGTCCACGTCACTAGGGGTCTGCTGTTCACCATACAAAAGTATGTAACAAGGAAACCTAACAGGGACTGATGGCAGATTGACCATTTCAATAGACGTGTACGTGTGAAAAATGAGATCTATATTGTTACCGTGATATAAGAGCTATAACATGGTATTTCAGGTAGGGAAGGAAGGTATGAATGCGGTGGGATTAACTCACCATAAGCAACATTTGTTGAGATAAATTCGTATTGATATAGGTGGCCTCCAGTGCAAGGCGCTGAGCGGAATTGATATGAGTGGGCTCTTCATTCGGTGGTTCGGCGGCAGTTTCACAAACACTAACCAGATCTGGTCAGGAGAAAACACGGACGAACATGCATTCAGGCGATTGTAACAAACTCAAATTGCGCTCACTTTAACACCTGCGATGCGGACACAAGTTGATCAAACAAAAAACGCTCTTTGCACTGTACTACAATATCTTATGACTGACATAAGGATTAAGGTTACCTTTGGGACAAATCCAGGAAGTCTAGAGGCCGATCACATGTTCTGGGTCTTTAATAGACTATCAGCTTGCGTAAATGGCGAGCTTGTTAGAATCAAGCCACTTTCGGCAGAGCATCCTCGTATGCACCACGCCTACCGGATAATACCGTGTGCGATGTTAACCGGGTTTAACACTGAATACATACAGATGTGCGTACAAGTTAGACGTTCCTGGTCTTCGTGTGAGGCGCCTAGCAACGCACACGATGGCATTCAATAATTCAATTCATAACAAAACCAAATAGTAGGACTCCGTTGTGAAGCGAGTAATTGTTCATGATCATGTGAAATGAAAGTGAGAATCACTTAATATCAGAGACCCTATTCGAAAGTAATTGACCAAGTGGATCAAAACAACGCAAAATATATCGATACAACGTAACTGATCGATATGGCAAATACCAGAAAAATTCTCCGAAAAAAAGTTAGCCCACAAATGCTTGCAATACTATTAGAAAGTGGAACAAAAACGATTGCCTCCAGGGCTGAGCGAGCTTTGAACTTTCCGGTATTTTATACCAATTGAATATCAAGAATAACTGTGGCTTCCCTAGATGAGCGATCCGACTTAAAAAGTATCAGTAGTTGAGATGTTCTGAGCCATTTATCACTACGTACGTAGTTCAGATAGACCAATAACGTTAGCTAGCTGGAAACGATTTTGAACAGCTGATACAAAAAGCATGCTGTTTGTGTTTCGAAAGAAAATGTGAGCACAACCTAACCGTGGTGTACTGATGCCGATACTTATTATTATTATATTTCACACTTGTCTGAGGACAGACTGAGAGCCAGGCAAATCATGGTACAATAATCCTCATAAAAAAGAAAAAGGTCCATGCTTGGCTTGTAAGCTACCAGGTTGCCCAGGTCAAGGCAGGTGAATTTTCCGGAGGAATTCACAACCGGAGCCTTCAGCTAGCCAAGGCAGCGGGGCGGTGTGTGAAAACCGCAGTCCATTGGGAGCCGGTGTCCAGTTCATCGGAACATACACCCTTCGGACGCGATTAAACATCCAAAGTGCCCAATACACCTCAGTGCCCGACCGAGCCGGTGATTACTGCCACAACCGACAAGGTGTGGTTGTGGTTCATACGCCTCCTCATGGTTGGTTTGAAATCATGGTTTTTGGCCAACTCCCCTAGGTAAACTACCAGTGGTCGACCAACCCCGTTATAGCCCCGGATGTCAGCTCTTCGTCCTCTCACTTTGGTGGGGAAACACCTGCGCCACGAGAAGGTAGTGAGTAGGGCTTCCTCAGCAGAAGTTATTCGAGACGCTTGGTCGTATGGGAGCATTTCACAAGGTGCAAGGGAAGGGTGACCAGCCACAACCCTAGACACCCAATCCCAACCATACTGAGGCTTATCCCGTTCCGCTGCTAGGCGCATCGTATTATATCCCATTCCGGAAAATTTCTGGCGATAATATCCATAGGACCAACTAATTTTTCAATAGTACACACAGGTAAAAATAATAAAAACAGGAAAATGAAAGATCTCTACTGTATCTAACTCCCATTAAACCTCGTCCCACACTGGCTCTGAAAGAGCCGTCTATCAAAACATCACCCGTTGTTGCAAACACGGTTATTATGACGAAAATATACCTCCTAGGTACAAGTGTACGAATGAACTGGCAACAGATTACCGGATACGCATGCCTGACGAGCGGTTAGAATCACGAAACTGGTCGTGTGCTTCCAGGGAATTATGTGGTCATTGTTCACAGACAACTTATTATGAAATACATATATGCAGTGTGTGTGTGTGTGCGTGTGTGTGTGTGTGTAACGCACCGAATTCCCCTTTGGCACGAGTGTCGAAGAAGAGCACATCTTCCACACGAGTAACCACCAAATCCCATGGGTTGACTGATCTTGTGCAACACATGATGCTGGCGGCAATCGCATCGGTACAGTAAACACGTCCGGCATGCTGTTTCGCCAGACGGACAATAATTGGATCGTCCGTTGTTGACACGGTGTGAATCACTCGATTGACTCGGCTAAGCGGTCGTTCATTTCGAGTGGAGACTCGGTCGTACGATTTGTCGTAGTACTCCATCTCACCGCAGTTGACACTGATCAGGGATTCGACACAGGGAAGGTTATACAAAACAAACCAGAGAGGAAAAACGTTTCGCAATGAAGATTTATATCGTGCCGAACGGGTATTGAATGAACAAAGAGCATGTATAGAATGGAATGTGCAATCATTAAGTCATGACAGTTTTGCATGGAATGAGGATTAAAAAACGCATACCAGTATGAGCATGGAACATGATCAAACAGGACGTAGTGGACCGCAAAAAAGGGACCGTACGACGCTCCATCGTGTTTGAAGAAAGTTATGGGTAAGGATGACGTTTTCTACNATAATCACTTGAGTTATTCCACACCAATGACAATAGTGTGGTGCGTAAATTTGTATCCTCAAAACTATCCCCTCCTCGGGAACATCAGTTTACTTATGAACCTATAATTCTGTTTCACTTTTCACAACCCAGCCAGCACTCCTGGATGTTTATTGTAATTATGATTTATGCAGGTGAAAAGCTTATAATTCCGTCAGAAGCAGAGAAAAAAGTCGAGTCCTGAAACTGGCATAGTTTGATAGGTGGATAAATGCTGCGTTAACACGGTCCAAATCTGCTGCACAATCTCGATTTCTGGGTTCGGTCCCCTACATAGGGCGTACAACATATGCGATCGACTTCGGTTAAAATAGCAGTTGATAGTTAATGAGTCTTTAGACTCGTACGATCGTTCCTTCTTCTGAATGATATTAACAGTGGAGATGCTATTTCACTGTTAAAACAAATAGTTCTGAGGGCAGTATAGGTTGAATATGTGATTTGGTGCATAAGCTGACTGCATTGTTTAAAGGAGAACAGGAGGAAAACCACAAAACAACATTAACTGGACGCGTAAGATTTGTGGAAGACATATTGTGAAGGCGAACAGTGACTTTGTAGGTTTCCTAAGTGTATAGCGAACGGAGGAGATTTTACTGTGGGTTTCAGCTTTTACAAACCTGAAACGTGTATTTTCGTGCGGCGGTTTCGGTTGCTGTCTCTTGGATTATCACCTGGATGAAGGAGTGAAGGGAAGACTGAAATGTTAAAATCAGTATCAGCGAGAAATTCAGAATCCATGAAGATTAAGGTTGCAAAGAAATTGAGTAGATGTTCGAGTGCCACTGTTTACGACACAGCCAGAACACCGCATTTCTAACTATCGGTTACGCTGATCCTGATCCAGGATAACCCAACGCGGGCTGTGTGAGAAACTCTCCCGGTCAAGGTTTTCATACCCTGATGTTTTTTATTACACACCTAGGTGTGATGAACAGCAGACGGGGCGGACCCCATAGTCACGAGAATCTGCTGTTCAGTGACTGAAATGGGCAAACTAAGCCCGGGATGTGGTGAACCACATAAAGCCCCAATAAGTTAGGCGTGGTATTGAACCCGACGACAGCAGAGCTGTCTACCACCACGACGAGACTGCACCTTGACGTGGTGTGATGGCTTGCGCGCCTCAGTGACCC